CCACAAACGCTCAGGGCGAAGCTTTGCCTGAGCGCATATCGCTTAGTTTTTTTTAAAAAATGACCGGGGAAAGCCGGAAGCCTCAGGCTTCCAATGGAAGTGGCTGTGCAACGGAGGAGAGCGATCAGATGGAAGGGTTCATCGGAAGCCACCGTTGCACTCTGTTTACCACCACTTCGGACCTAGTGGCAGAGTGCAACGGTGTAAAGGGATTTACAACGGTTAGGGACGGGAGGCAGATGTTCGCCGTCTGAACGCCCGTAAATACACCGGTTGGAACCGGCACCCTAACCGTTGTAAATCCCCCGTCTGAACGCACCCATTGTGCCCCTTACATAAGTGCTGGGCTTTTTTCACATTGCTTTCTCTCACCCAGGCTGCTGTGCACAGTGCGCCCAGCCCAGCCAGTCACATGCTTACATAAGTGGGCACCTTTGGTGAGCTGGCCAGCAGCTTTCCACAGGCAACTGTGCCCGCGGGTGTCTTCCCTGGGCTGCCAACAAGTGGGAGATTCTGCCTGCCAAATGTGAACAGTAACAGTTTTTGCCTGTTCAAACGACACCCTGGCTTTACAAATGTGTTTTTGTTGTTGTTTAATTGCCATAAAGGAAAAAGAGAGGGTTTTCGAGAAAACAGTGGAAAAGAATAGGATTGGTGTGTGCATGGCTAGTGTTCAAGCAAACTTTCAGAGCCCCCCCCCTTTTTTTTGTAGCTGGCTGAAGTCTAGTTTTTCTGCGGCCTTTAGCTTTAAACTGTGCTATTCTGTTTTTAGGAAACGCTGTGACTGCTTGGGGAAAAAAAAACTGTTTTCAAAGATTTGAGACGTACACGAGTGGGAGGAGGAGGGCTGTATGGGAAGTTCGACTTTTTTCTATTAAGTGCTCCACCCACGATTTCCTCATGCTGGAGCTGGAAAGAAAAGACGCAAACTTGTACCTTCTGCATAGATATATGGCCGTTTTATGGCCGTTCAGGGATGACTGCAGTCAGTGCCACATTGCTTTGAGGTATTTGGATGTGGTTTTGAGATGCACTTTTTCCTCTGAATTGAGAAAATGTGAAGCAAATGCTAGATGCAGAATCGCCCATTCCTGAAAGCTGAAAAAACTCAAGAGGCAATTTTTTCAGGTATGTGATGAGACTTCTTCTTGAACTGGGGCCCCTAGGGGAACATAGAAAACCTCCAGAAGTTTGTGCCAGCTAGAATTTAGTTCCCAAAAACTTACTCTATCAGTATCCTTCGGACTGCAGGAGAGGAAAATAGAAAGAGGTTGAATGACAGCATGCTGAAAGTTTTTGCAGGAGTCGTGTGCAAATCAGAGGATTTTCAAAGCTTTCTGGGAATGTGAGGCAGGAATTAGGAGATCCCCTGCCGGCTATAGGGATCCCCATAAGCCCCACACATACTGTGCTAATATAAAGAAGACAACTGTTACAAAGAGACTAGGTCAGCAGTGTTGTCTCACTGATATCCTGTCCTAATTTTCCCGCTTTTGCCCAGTTTTTATTTCCTGTCTTCCACCTACCCCATCTTTTTCTTTTCTTCCAATGTCTTGGCTGACAGCTTGCTCATTGTTCCCTCCATTCACTTTCAGTACTGAGGTGAAACTGCAGCATGCAGCCATTTTAGATTACAAGATTTGTGCAGGCAATCAAAATGGCTGGTGGGTTCTTATGAGGATGCTGAGAGATCTCAGCATATTGAAACTTTAAATATTTTAAAGTATTTTTTCCTAAGCCATTTTGGATCCCTACTGGGAGAAAAGTAGAATAAGAAACACACTAAATAAACAAATAGTAGGAGTTGGGTGTTGTATGTCTGGACAGTCACTTCCCTCTGTTTGGCTGAGCCGTTCACATCAGATTGAGGATGGAAAGAGGGAAGGGAACCAGCACTAGAGTTTTCAGTGTCGTTTTTCGAGCCTTGATCTGCAATGGTTGTATAAGATCTGGTCCTGGGTGGGAAGAGGGGATGAAAAACCAACTCTGCTGGGTGGGAATAGTTTGTTCCTCTCTGAGGGGGGATGAAATCCCAAGAGAAGGAGGAGATTAATGTTCCCTCTAAGCTGTGGGGTCTTGTGAGCAAAAATTCTACTTTGTGAGCTACTGGCATTAAAGTTGTGAGCAAGCGATTCTGCTCCTGCATAAATTAGTTTGCTCTGGAGCCCTCCTTCCTGAGCTAAGGCAAAAATGTGTGAGCCGGAGGCTAAAAAACTGTGAGCTAGCTCACACTAACTCAGCTTAGAGGGAACACTGGAGGAGATTGGATTTATACCCCGCTTTTCATTACCTGAAGGAGTCTCAGAGTGACTTACCTTCCCCTCCCCACAACAGACACCCTGTGAGGTAGGTGGGCCTGAGAGAGCTCTTTTGAGAACTGCTCGTGAGAGAACTTCTCTGAAAGAACTCGTAACGTAATGGAAAAGGGTAAAAGTCGGATCTAAACGGATCTTCATGAATTCATATGATTTTTACACTGAAAGGAAATCAAACCACCATCATATCGTAGGCCTTTTACCCAGACCCCTTGTAACCAATGCTCCCTCTAAGCTGTGGAGTCTTGTGCGGAAAAATTCTACTTCGTGAGCTGCCGGCATTAAAGTTGTGAGCGAGCAATTTGGCCACTGTGTAAATTAGTTTGCTCTGGAGCCATCCTTCCTGGGCTAAGACAAAAAAATGTGTGAGCCAGAGGCTAAAAGACTGTGAGCTAGCTGACACCAACTCAGCTTAGAGGGAACACTGCTTGTAACTGACCCAAGGTCACACCAACAGCTGTATGTGGAGGAGTGGAGGATCAAACCTGGCACTCCTAGATTAGAGTCCACGCTCCTAACCACTACACCATACTTGGTTCCACCACAGAGGATCAGAAATCCTTCAAAAAAAAAGTTCCTTAGTGTGGGAGGAGAAATGCAGCAGAGAAGGTGGTAAACTTGAACTATTTTTTTGGAGGGGGGAGCTGGATTTCTTTCTCCCTGCACAATGGTTATTTGAGGGTTTATGCAGCAGAACAAGAAAGAGCTTGCTATAAGTATGAGCAAACTTGCAGTGTCTTCCTATACAGCCAACTACCCAAACCTTAGTCCCATTTCAATTCAGTCAAAGAACATCAGTGGTTACACTTTATAGCAGGAGTGGCCAAACTTGCTTATCGTAAGAGCTACATAGAATAAACATCAGATGTTTGAGAACTGCAAGTCATGAACAAATTACACACGTTTTTATTGAAAAATATGCAAATTTCTTTTTACTAATAGTGAATGAGACTGCCAAAAACAAAAACAAAAGGGCGTAAAAACTGATATAGGTAATGACATTTTTGCCCAATGATATTTGTTTGCTAATGATATTTATTTGTCTAAGAGAAAGAGAGTTGGAAAAAAAGAATGACAGAGGTGAAGAGAGAGAGAGAGAGAGAGAGAGAGAGAGAAAGCAAATAGATGGGGGAGGGAGGAAGGAAGGAAGGAAGAGAGAGAGATAAAGGGAGAAAGAGAGAAAGAAAGTTGGAAAGAAAGCAAACAGATGGGGGAGAGGTGGGGGAGGTGGAAAGAAAGCTACTTTAAATGTGTCCTCCAAGGCAAAGGACCCTCCCCCCAAACTGGCTTGGCTTGGCGAAGGGATTTAAAGAGACAAATGTCTTCTCCAAGCCAGCTGGCGGGGTGTGTGTGTTTTGAGAACACATTTAAAGTTAAAGTTGCTTTCTGTCTCTGCTCCCCCCTACCTCAAGCCTACCCAGAGAGGGGAACACTGGCTGGGAAAGGGAAGACCGATTTGGGAGTCATGCCTCCCCTTTGTTTCCCCAGCTACCCTGCTGGGAGCTGCAAAATATGTGTTCAAGAGCCATGTGTGGCTCCCAAGCCGCAGTTTAATTTATTCATCATTTAAAAGAGTTATGCCTTGTCTGTCTGAACTGTGGAGGTAAGATGTTTGCCTATCCCTGACAAGTACTTGTGGGGGGGCATCCAGATGTGCAATATATCATCTGCAGTCTATGACAACATCAAAGCTGCTGTTTGTATTCATGTGGTAAAGCCCCAGCTGGAAAGTTTCTTTTCCAGAAATAGATGTTTAAAGTTGTTTTTGCTTTCACAGCCTTTGTGGGTGAATCATTCTGGGGTGGGATGGGGCAGAGCTGAGCTATGTTCACTATTCTCTGACTGAAAAACACTAAAAGAGAAAGAAAGAAAAAGTTATGTAAAATACTGCCCCCATGTTCAGAAATTAAAGTAATTTTTCCAAATAGCTGGATGTGAGTGCAGTAGGACCTTAGAGATCAATCAGATTTTCAAAGCTTCCAAGAGTCAAAGCTCCCTTCATCAGATACTCTGACTCTGGAAAGCTTATATACCCTGAAAATCTTGAAGGTTTCTCAGGCACTACTGGACTCTAATCTAGCTCTTCCCCTGCTGATCAATATTGCTGCCCTCTGAAACTTTCCAAATGTTTTCTTATGTGCCTTCAGCAAAGTCAGTTTCCACCCACAAGAATCCAGAGGCAAAGCATCCAGAGGTTGAGCCTATGTTGATTCAGTGTTCCTTAAGGAACAGAGACGTGTTTGGAGGTTAGTACATTCTGAATTATAGGTCATAAAGACATACAGCAGTAACAACATCATCTTTAGTACTGGGGCTGCAGTGGTCAGAATGTCATACTATCATCTGGGAGACCCAGGTTCAAAGCCCCACTCTTCCATGAAGCTGGCAGGTTGACCTGGGGCTCGTCTGGGAATGCAAGCCTTGGCTGGCAAAACCTAGGAGCGTTGTGGGGGGCAGAGACTCTGAAAATCAGCATCATGTGATGTCGTGACATCATTTCTGGTTGCGTACCCGGAAGTGATGTCACGGTGTCATTGACATTGACACTCTAGGAATCTTCCAAATCTCTATAGATTTTATGAACAAACTATGAACAATTACCGTACATGCCAGACACAATTTGTGGCTTCTCCAGCTACAGGTGTCAGGTACCAGCTGTCAGAAAGACATTTCTCTATCTGTGTCCTCAGATAGTTGCCAGCAGATAGATAGAACAGCAAATTACTGGTAGATCATTTGACTTGCATGCAAAAGGTCCCAGGTTCAGTCCCCTAGCATGTCCACTTTAAAAGAACCTGTGGTAAGTGTTGTCAAAGACCTCTAACAAAGATCTTGGACCCTCTGCACCTCCCAGTAGAAGAAGAAGAAGAGATTTATACCCCGCCCTTCACTTGGAATCTCAGAGCAGCTTAGAAACTCCTTTCCCTTCCCCTCCCCACAACAGACACCCTGCGAGGTAGATGGGGCTGAGAGAGCTCTGAGAGAACTGCTCCAGAGACAGCAGCTCTGACAGAACTATGGCTAGCCCAAGGCCATTCAGCAGCTGCAAGTGGAGGTTTGGGGAATCAAAACCTTTTCTCCCAGATTAGAGTCTGCGCACTTAACCACTACACCAATACTGATCTTGACAGGCCAAGTGTCTGATTTCATGTATGGCAGGCTTTTGTGTTCATGTCAGCAGAGGATGGCAAACCGGCATAGAATCCTAAAATATTTTTTTGTTTAATTCCAGCAATGTTCAAATCCATCCACTTGGATTTTAAATCTGCAGATACTGATTACTGATTTTTAATTTTGCTTCCTCCTTTTCAGGGTCTAGGGAGGCCAGTACCTAAAGTTGCCTGAGACTGCATCACTTTTACAGACTATGCAAGTAAAGAAGAGCCAGTGTCACCACAATATACTTTGGGAAAGCTGCCGTGAAGAAAAAATCCACAATTTCATCTTCTGGTAAGAGTAATAGCCCAGAGAAGATGGATAAAAATCGAGAGGAGAAGACATTCCCTGTCTAGGTCTCACAGACTTCAAATGTACAACATATGAACATAAGAACATAAGAGAAGCCAATGCTGGATCAGGCCAAGGACCCATCCAGTCCAACACTGTCACATAGTGGCCAAAAATACCAGGTGCCATCAGGAGGTCCACTAGTGGGGCCAGGACACTAGAAGCCCTCCCACTGTTGACCCCCCCCCCCCCAGCACCAAGAAGACAGAGCATCACTTGCCAGAAGAGCAGGAAAGCAGGATGCTTATCCCTCAGGAGACAAAATCACGATCAGAATCTCCAAGTTCAGAAGAGTCCACTTATTACTCCTGTGAAGATGCTGATGATTTTGATGATATTTCACTGACCAAAGAGCAAAAGTACATTTTTTTTCAGATCCTGAGGAGTTTACTTGAAGAGCCAGGCTCTTTAAAGAATGGTAAGGAGAGAAAAGTGTGGCATGATGGAAAGATCTTGAAGCTCATGTACATGACTGAAAGGTGTGAAATAATTGTTCAGGATTCTCATGGGCATTTCCAATACAAGGGGGTAGTGTCAACACAAGATATTTACCTCAGATGGCATGGAAATGAGAATGCTGAACCTCTGACCCTAGAGAACCTCCATAAAGTACAGAATGAACTGAAGTTCCTGAAAGTTTTGAATGAAAAGGGGGATGCTTGTTTTTCCAAGGCCTTCAATGAGCTCATTAGAGAGTTTAAATGTGTGCAGAAAAATACCACTTTGAAATTGATTTATGATGCCATTATGCTGACCTTTGTCTCTGGTAAAGGTAGAAATGTGGCCACAGTTACATATGATGATTTTAAGAAAAAACCCAAATATCAAATGAAAGTAATATGGTGGATTATACTTTGGAGGTTTCTCTACTTAGGCTGTGGTAGAATTTGTGAATTTATTGACAGCTTAATAAATTTGTGTGATTCTAGTACATCTCTCCTAAATCATATACTTGATTGGTTTCACTCTTGGGAGAAACACCAAAAAATACAGTAATCAGTATGTGCCTGTTTCTAGTTCATGGCTACAGTGGAAAACTTCCCTGCTTTGCTTTAAATGATTTTGAAAGTTCTTAAACAACCAAAGAGTTTGAGATTCCCCCAACCATCTCTGCCTCCTGTGAGAAGAGGTCTTCCCTGAAAGACATCTTCAAGGAGTCTCTCCTAAGTAGGGTTGCCAGGCCCCACTGGGGGTGGGGGAATCCCCTGCCCTGGGGCCTCTCCCCCCCTGGTGCTGATCAGCTAGCTAGAAGGCGACTTACCAGTCACAAAAGGAGGCCTAAGCCTGAATTGCCAGCAACATGGCAATGTCACTTCTGGCATGTACCAGAAGTGACATCATCACATTGGCAGCAATGTGGGGACGCTCGGGTGTTTGGGCAAAAACTCTATGGTGAAAATGACTTCTACAATGGAGTTTTTGCCCAAATACCAGAGTGTCCCTGCTGATGTGATGACATCAGTTCTGATGTGTGGTGGAAGTGATGTCACCGCAATGCCAGCCTAGGCTTCTCTTTGCTCCCAGTAAGCCCCCCACCCACCCCTTCTGGTTGCCAAGGGGTAACTGGCAATCCTACCATTTATTCATTTGCTGTCAGATATTTAGATTTATAAACTACTAATCTTATTTTCGAATCCAGTAGCACCTTAATGCCCAAACAGACTTCCAGAGCTCAAGGTTTTGAAGTTCGAAGTGCCCATTGTCAGATACAAGTAGGAATCGTGATCCCGGAGCACTTATATCCCAGTCAGAAGGTGGGAGGGATGTTGCATATCCTTCTGACTGGGACTTGAGGGTTTAGAGGTCTCCATTTTTTTTTTTAGGAAGGGAGCTTTGACTCTCGAAAGCTTATACTCTGGAAATCTTGTTGGCCCTCAGGGCACTACTGCACTCGAATCTCGCTCTTCTGCTGCAGACCACCATGGCTACTCAGTTTATTTTGTTTTCAGCTTTCTTGAGTTATAGATGCTGTTCAGTGTAGGAACATTTTAGGAGACAAGACAGTGAAACATACAACCCAAAGGGGATGTTAAGAACATACAGACTTCTGGATCAGGCCAAGGCATTCTAGATTTTCATTATCTTTCTGTGGTAGAAGCCTGCCAGATGTTTGAACCTTCTGAATTCTCCTGGCTAATAGCCTTTGAGGGACCTATCCTCCATGAATTAGTCTAATCCCCTTTGGTTGTCAACTCCAAAAAACCCTGCAGACGGAAAAGTGGTGAGTTGGAGTGGAATAATAGTGGGTGAGGAAAAGCGTTAAATGCTGATATCTATATCATCTATATCTATCTATCTATATCTATCTATCTATATCTATCTATCTATATCTATCTATCTATATCTATCTATCTGCTAGGTTGGCAGGAGCTGGAACTAGAGACGGGAGCTCACTCCGTCATGCAGCACACTCGGGTCTCGAACTGCTGAACTACCGTCCTTTCACAGCCTGCAGTTCAGCGTCTTAACCACTTGAGCCACCACAGCTCCATATCTATATATCTATATATCTATATCTATATATCTATATATCTATCTATATATCATATCTATCTATATATATATCTATATATCTATATCTATATCTATCTATATGTTATATGTAGTTATTCTCTATTGTCTTTTTCTGTTCATAAGTTTTTAAAAAGCCACTTCTTAGGACCAAACTACATGTTACATTTCCCACATGCAGCCTTGCAAGTTCCCCATGATTTAGAAGTGTGCAGGGGCCTTATTAGGACTGTGGTGCAGCGGGATGAGGGCTCCCCCCACACTGTTCTCTTCGTCTGAATGGTGCCAGGGGGCATTATTAACCACTCCGAGGAATGCATGTGCAAGCATTCTGTTCATATGCAGCCCTCCTGATGGGAAAAACAGCATCTCTCCAGTGTTTTTTTGAGTAGAGAAAATGCCTTTGATGCCAACACCCTCAGGGCATTAAGGTTCTTTGACTTGTGTGGCTAGCCAGTAAACCACACAGTAAAACAATTATTCAGGCAGTAAAGGGTAACAAAAGGATTCTCTTTAAGAAAGCATCTTTTTGTCCTAAACTTAATAACTTTCTATAACAAAGCTCAAAATAATTCCGCTAGCTGCTGCTTCTTACAAATATCTTATACCATAATCTTGGTAAATATTCAGCTTTACACAAAATATAAAGTCAAAAAACACACACATCAGAAGAGGATTTCTCTATTACAGTATATAGCTGTCCTTCCATTTACCCCAATTTAGGCTTTGCTAACAACATCTTGATTAATTATTTCTAGTTGCTTTGAAGTAAAAGGCTTCTACCATTGACAGTGGGCTTTCTGCCATTAAAACTCCCTTCACTGGCATAAATTCAATTCAATTCATTAAGCAAAGCTTTCTCAAAGTCTTTTTTATTTTAAAATAATAAGCTAAAAAGGCAAATATATAGATATTGCTTATAAATTCCTTTAAGATTTTCACTAACTCAATATTTAAAGCATATTAAACTAAAAGGAGAGTTTAGTTTAAAGTTTCTTTAAAGCGACCAATAAACTTCTGACCTCATCTCTTTGAAGCAGAAGGTAAAAGGTAAAGGTTCCCTTGCTCGAAAGCTAGTCGAGTCCGACTCTAAGGTTGCGGTGCTCATCTCCGTTTCAAAGCCGAAGAGCCAGCGCTGTCCGAAGACATTTCCGTGTCATGTGGCCGGCATGACTAAACACCAAGGTGCACGGAACGCTGTTACCTTCCCACCGAAGTGGTACCTATTTATCTACTTGCAATTTCTTCAAATGGCTACGTTGGCAGGAGTTGAAGCAGAAAGGTTCTCATAAATCTTAACATATTACAGCTTAAAGCAGTGTTGGAAAGTACTGTCCTAACTAAAAGTCTGTTGACATCATACCACCTGCTTGTTAGAAGATTCTTCTGCTGTCAATTAAAGTGATTTAAAACACCTGTTTTTCTATAACTGTACTTAGTGGGTAACAGGTTGTTAATTCTGCAGGAAAATCCAAAAGAATTTCTTCCAAAGATTCCTGGAAGTCAGCAATAATCAATAGACAATCACTCGAACCCTTGAATTGCCCCTTACACCTTCATTGTCAAAAGCTTGAACCCTGTATCTGCTTTGCCTGCCAGCGGTCTTACTTTTTGCATTCAAAACATTATCTTCTGTAAAAAGAATGGCATTTTTAAAGTATCTGTATTTTTAGAACATCTATATGTAATCTGAATGATCTTTAAGATATTCTACTTAAATGTGGTAACTGGTTTCATTTGAGCTATTTCTTATTATGGCCAAAGTGCCTAGGATATGAATTCATTGTTTTGTTCCTCATTATTTTTGTATCCTTGACAGTCTTAGACTGGACATCCTTCTTTTGTTATTAACTGAACACATTAAAGGGGGATATCCATTGTTTCTGTCTGTATGGGAATGCTTAATAGTGGTTGTTTGAACATCTCAGATTTTATCACTGTGTTTTTCTAACTGTAGTAGAGATGGGACTATATAGATTTTCCTCTTTTTTCATTATTCATATTTCTCTAGTTTTTATAGGTTTATTATACATTTAACATTTTATTGGAATGTAATGAAGGCCTGGTATATAGAAGGCCTCTCTTCTTTGTGGGTCAGGGTATTTTTCCAGTTGATGTTAACAGACAAGACAATAACATTGTTTTGGTACAAAAGAAGGTAGAAGGTTCATGGTTTTAATTGTTTAGGTTAGAACTTCATAGTGTCTGGGTCAAAAAGGATCTTTTACTTGGTATCAGAGAAAAACACCTTTGTTTGGGTGAGAACAAGCTTTGGCTGATATGACTTAGGTCAGGTCAAGTAAATATGTGACGCTATTGCACAGTCACACCGTTCTTACATTTGACCAATAAGGAGATTTTTATGTAAATGTTGTTTAAGTTTTTGTAACCAATTATGTCTTCTGAATATTATTCTCATGATGATGATATGATGTCATATTAAGTATTTAACTTCATGTATTTCCTGATTGGGCTCAGAAAGCAGTCAGCTTTGATGGGTCCTTTGGCCTAACTGTTTTCCGTATTTCATTGCAATAAAATATAAGATCTTCCTCCTCATTTTGACTTCAATCTTCT